AAAGAAGGCATACTCTCTGAGGAAACACTACTCATTCCGATCCAGTTAATTTCCTCCCCAGATAGTTTCCCATTTGCAAGGTTCTAAGTGCATCATTGGTGCAGTGGGTTAAAGTGCTGAGCTGTAGAACTTGCTGACTGAAAGGTCGCAGGTTAGAATTCAGAGAGCAGCATGAGCACCCGCTGTTAGCCCCAGCTTCTGCCATGCAAATGTGAGTAGACCAATAGGTATCACTCCAGCAGGAAAGTAATGGCGCTTCATTCAGTCATGCTGGCCATATGACCTTGGAGGTGTCTACATACACACCATCTTTTCAGCTTAGAAATGGAGATGAGCACCATCCTCCAGAGTCAGACATGATTGGACTTAATGTCAGGGAAAAACCTTTACCTTACCCTAAGTGCATCACCTTCCCATTTATTCCCAGGGATTAAGTTCTCTGCTTCTGTTTGATTTGGGAGTACAGAAATTCAGTTCCTTCCTTAGTACCACATTTGCAAAGGTATAGATTTATAGATACTTTGTTGTCAAGGTGACAGATATTTGTGTTACTTGCAATTCTTGCCAGTTTGGCTAATTCAGAGTATGTCTGCATGGTCTTCTGTAAGTCAGGAAAATATCCTGTTATTTATTTATTTATTTATTTATTTATTTACAGCTTTTATATTATGCCCTTCTCACCCCGCAGGGGACTCAGGGCGGATTACAGTGTACACATATATGGCAAACATTCAATGCCAATTTTGACATACATCATATACAGACATACACAGAGGCTATTTAACGTTTTCTGGCTGCCAGGGGAGCTGTCGCTTTCATCATCCATCTGCGACACTGATGAAGTACTTCCGCATTCCCTGCATGCTTTTAGCTGGAGTCTTTCTTTTTTATGGCCTCATAAATTAGTTAATTTAGCCTCCCCACACTTTAAGATGGTACCTAATTTTCCTACTTGACAGATGCAACTGTCTCTCGGTTTGCAAAAGTCGACAACAGGCTACACAATTGGTTGGAAACCCATTCCAACCCAGGCTGGCTTCGAACTCATGACCTTTTGGTCAGAGTGATCTTAATGCAGCTGACGCTCAGCCTGCTGCACCACAATCCCGGTGTTATTTCATGTAACACTACTCTGAGCAATCCCATATTGTGTGATGAACAAGTATGTGGTCTGGCGACTAGCACATAGATTTAACGCACTGAACAATAACAAGAATCTGCTTAACTTGAATCCAATTTTATTGGATTATTTATGAACACAGTTGAGATGTTTGCAAAGCATTTCCCTGGAGTTGAACAAAGCACAAAATGCAGAACTAACCGAAAGAGGAAATATGCACTAAAGTAAAGAATCAATATAAAATGGATTACACTAATGTGTTTGCTGTAGAAAGTCACCAAATGTTCAAGGCAAACACTCTGCTGTGTTTTCTCAATCCCTGCAGGGTTGTCAATTTCCATCCAACAAATGGATGTTTCAACAGATTAAGCGTACATCTTGGGAAAGTCTCTCATTTTTGCGGGGAAGGAATCCTAGATCCTCAAATCCCCTCAGGCAACATGACATGTTTTGGGCATTGTAGTCCAGAAAGTAACTTTCCTGATTCCAATTGTTACTTTTCTTTTTTTCTTTCTTTCTACTGACATGGAGCAGCCAGTAATGCAATCTGCCCAGATCTCAAAGGCTCATGGGATGATACACAGGGAGATGTTCAAATTTGTTAGTCATTGGTCATACAGGAGTATCATATCTAGATTGAGGGAAGTCACTTTCTTCTGATTTGGTCAGACCTCATCTGGAATAATACTGTGTCCAGTCCTGGCCTCACAATTCAGGAAGGATTGTGCAAGATGTCCAAGAGGGATGATGAAAATGGTCAGAAGTTGGGTGCCAAGCCCTGTGAGGAGGCTTGGGGAACTAGGTTATGTTTAGCTTGGGAAAAAGATGGCTGAGATAGCCAGGTTTAAGTATTTGAAATGAGCTCCTGTTAAGGAGGGGCAAGCTTGTTTTCTGCTGCTCTGGGGACAAGAATATGGAGCACTGGACTCAAAATGCAGAAGAAGAGATTCCACCTAAAACATTAGGAAGAACTTCCTGGTGATACAAGCTGTTCAACAGTCAAATATGTTGCCTTGGTGGAGCATGGTGGAGTCTCCTTCTCTGGAGGTTTTTAACAAAAGACTGGATGGCTATCTGTGTGGGAATGATTTGATTCTGCTTTTCATGCATGGCAGGGGGTTGGATTGGATGTCCTTTTTGGTATCTTCCAACTCTACGATTCTGTGGTCTATGATTCTAACTTGGAAACACAGGTGAGCATTCTTGCCAATGTCGAGGAACAGCTGTATGATCAAGAGGAAGGAATGGGGTGCTCCTCTCCTTCATGATGCTCCTGCAGGCACCTTGTTCTGATGTCAGTAAAGGCAGGTGCAATGGCCATGAGCTCTTGGAGAGCTCTGTGGCCAGCTAGGAGCAGCAGCGATGGCAGCGATGCTGCCTTGATCAATCCCCTTTCCTGTGCGAATGAGCTCAGAGATTGGCCATGGTGCTGGTATCCCATCTGTACAGGGATTGGGGTGAATCAGACCCAGTCCAGCACCAGTCTCCTATCTGGCCAACAGACTACAGGCAGTCCCCATTTTACAAACATCCTACTTACAGATAACTCATAGTTCAGAACAGGGGTAGGACAACAAGAAGTGAGAGAAATCTGCCCCTCAGAAGGAAAACTGAAAGAGTTATTATCATGGGGAAAGGGAGACTCAGCTGAAATTTTATCACCAATCCTCATTTCCACAATGATCTTTTTTTAAAAAAATAATCAATTCTTCACAGGGACAGAAAGTGAGGTGGGATCTTCTGAACAGGGGCACAGATAGCAAAGCAAACACCGCAGGGGGCAAACCCTTCTCTATTCTAGCCAAAGCATATATATATATACATGGCTTGTGTTACACTTAAAATGTACCTGTTCCAGCTAACATACACATTCAACTTAAATTTAAATTTCTTTGAATAGCCAGATCTTCAGGTCTCCAGGACTTGTAAACTTACAAGGTCTTTATCCTTCTCTTGCCTCACCAAACTACAAATCCTGGGATTCCATAGCATAAAATCACTCCCATCAAAGTGGTATCAAACTGGATTCATTCTACAGTGTACAAGCATCCCATATTTATTTATCCACTCCTTCTTGTTCCTGACTTTTAATCTTTTACCAGTTCCTTTAAAGCAGTGGTTCCCAACCAGTTTTTGACCAGGGACCAGTTAACCAGGAACGATTCTCCGACATTAGTACCAAAAGGGTTACAGATCAGTTTTTGGTCAACTTTATATTCGGTTTGGTTATCTGGGGTGCTGATTTGAAAAATTGGATAGACCACATTGGCTCTAGTTTCTGATACAAAACATATGCCATCCAGTAGTTGACATCTGCTCACCCACAGAAAACTATATTTAATAAGCCTCAGCACTATAAGAGGGTTTTGTGAGACCAGTTGTTCTCGTTGCAACCATGTGGTAACTGTGAAGCTGCAAACCATATTTTAGTTCTTGGGGACCACAGGTAGTCCACAGACCACAGGTTGGGAACTATTGACCTCACTACCTCTGAGGATGCTTGCCATAGATGCAGGCGAAACGACAGGAGAAAATGCCTCTAGAACATGGCCATATAGCCCGAAAAAACCTACAATAACCCAGTGATTCCGGCCATGAAAGCCTTCGACAATACATTGTTTTAAAGTTTACTGTCTCATTTTGTATGCAAAACCAGTTTCCATCCTTCTACCTCCCCACAAAGTACAAATCCTCCTAATCGTATCTACTATGGATGAAACCTTTTAAGGCTTTTGTGTGTGCGTGAAAATTAAACAGAAATATACATGCTTACAATGCACTCATGTAAATAAAAGATTGTCAATGTGAGGGTTTCTACTTTAGTTAAATAAAGCTTTTCTGTATGGCATAGTTTTAACTAGAGTGTTTTCACTAAATGCGGGGTCTCATCTTTGGTGTGTTTCAGCCAAGTCAGAGACCACAAAGTTTATTTTGACTGCAGTGAAAAGGTATTTGGAGTCACATGACCACAAGACAGACACCTTTTCATTACAGCTACAATAGACCTTTGTGATTTCCCACTGGTAATTCCCTCTGGATGAAGTTTGCTAAGGACCAGGCTCTGTATTTAGGAATAACAAATTGACACCTGAAGTGGGACCAGAATCCTCAATTTAGGATAGTGGGTGGCACCAAATGCTTCATTTTGTGTTCACTTTGGTGTAACAGAAATGTGCCATTTCATTGTGTTGTTGCCACTGGTTACTGTTTCCCATGCATCCAGCCTCATGTGCAACTAGAGCAGTGGTTCTCAACGTGTGGGTCCCCAGATGTTTTTGGCCTACAACTCCCAGAAATCTCAGCCAGTTTACCAGCTGTTAGGATTTCTGGGAACTGAAGGCCAAAAACATCTGGGGACCCCAGGTTGAGAACCACTGAACTAGAGCAAGGCTTTTCACTGTTGGCCAATGTGACACCAAATAAACTCTAGTTGAGATTATATTCTATCTGTAATACCAAGAGGGCTGGAAATCTGTTTGTCTTGAAGGCTGGGACCCTTTAAGAATCCAAATGGATGCTTTAATTTCTATCCACAGGTGCTACTAGCCACATCTCTTTTGAGAATGGCATCTACAGCAGTGGTCCTCAACCTGTGGGTCCCCAGGCATTTTGACCTACAACTCCCAAAAATCCCAGCCAGTTTACCAGCTGTTTGGAATTTCTGGGAGTTGAAGGCCAAAACATCTGGGAACCCACAGGTTGAGAACTACTGGTCTACAAAGATCCAATGTACTTGGCTGCCATTGCATTGCTTTGATTCTGGGTTTGTCTCCTTTGTTTCCTTTTTCACCTGATTTAATCCTTTTGTCATGCATGTTGAAAATGGCAAAGCATGCGTATATACTTAGCTAATGCAGGTGTACGTCATTCCTCCAACTAGCTTCATGGTGGAAAGAAACGAGAAACATGGCATATCCCATCGGTAGGTATCCTTTTACCTCTGGTCCAAGCTAGGGGGAAAGGGAAAGAAGCTGAGGTCAACTGATCCCAATGTCCTACACAAGTTGTTATCCAATTTTAAATGGCATTCCTTTTTTTCCCCCAAAAAAAATCAGAAAACACATTTATGAAATATGCAGGTTACACCAACTCACAATTCTTGCATGATTGATTTTGATGTTGCTTGTCAGTGGGGAAGAGTAAACAATGACATAAAACAGTAATGGGAAGGCAAGTGTATCCGAAACAGAAATGCATATTAGGTTGATCTAGCTCTTTTATGGTTCTTGCTGAAGAGACAAGCTACAGATCAGTCTGAAAAGTGGCTTGTTTCTTCAGTTCCGGAAGCTGTTTTGAAGAATATAGTAAAGAGAATATTCAATTGTACATGCAGTTAGGAGTCTTATCATCTCATGCCAAGTCTGGATATTTGTGCATAAAGATCAGGGGTGGACAGGACAAGTGTGATATTAGAAGCTGAGTGGGCCCAACAAGAATGGTCATTCTATGGCAGCTGAAAGCCATCAGCTTCTAATGCTGATCCAACCCAACTGGGTGCCTCCGGTTTTCCAGAGTCTCAGCCACAATGCAATTCTGGATCATCTGCATAGGAAGAATTGCTATTGATTGAGCTTTGGTCACTGTTTTTCTGAATGTACATGTTTCATCTACTTTGTCTCCTCAAGAGATTCCCATATTGTCCTTAATTTAAACACAAAGAGCTGTTCTTTATCACTTGATACTAACCACTTTGAGCATCAGGGCGTATGCATATTTCGGAATATCCAGGGTCAACAGTAGCAATAGATTTGCCATTAAGCACACCTGGCTTATCTAAAGGCTGACCGCTTACCCTCAAAAGAGCTTCAACTAGATTCATAGAATCATGAAATTGGAAGGAAGCTCTCTGACACATTGAAATACCTGAGCAGATTCCCTAAAAGATGGTTGTATGACATCTGTTTAAAAACCTTCCAAAATCAGACCAGTCAAGAGATTCTTCCAAATGTTTAGATGGAATCTCTTTTCCTGTAATTCAAAACCATTGGTTCAAATCATTGGTGACATTGAATTTTGCCTTGTAAACCACCTCAAGTCGCCAGAAGGCAGAGAGGGTCAGTATACAAATACAGTAAATAAATAAATAAACCTGGGGAGAAAAAGATTGTTCCTTTTTATGAGATCTTCACAAACATATAAATCTGGCTATAATATCATGGTGTGGCCTGTGTGTGCTCTTCAGGAGTTGTATAAGTTGCCCTGTACTAGGCAGCTTCTTTGTCCTCTGGAGCCACTGTTTTCTGCACAGAAAATGCTGCAATTGGTGATTTATTCTGTACAAAATTGACATGTTTGTGATTTGCATTAAAAACAGTCTATTATGTACAGGAAACTATTTTTGCATAGAAATATATTGTCTCCCTGTTAACAATGTTTCTTCCTGAGCAGAAAATGCTGTTTTTGTCAGCCCACAGAATGTCTCAACCCCTTTTACTTTTGTCAGCCCACAGAATGTCTCAGCCCTTTTTGTGATAAAAACTCAAAAAATACACAAGTCTGTTGCTTTACATAGAAACAAAAATATAATTCTATTCACTGTAGATCAAAAACACAAAGCAAAACAGAAGAATTGTTCTCACCAATATACAACAAACAATTTCTCTGGCGAGTTTTCTTTACACGACGATATGCAAAAACATAGCAAAATAATACAGTCTCTCTACTTAGTTATCAGTAGAGTGTCCTTATCTTGCCATAAACAACCAGTGTCCTTGGCACTCCAAACTGCCTCAGTCGTCAGCTTCAGGACGCTGCATAACCATTCCCAGCAACAGTTTCTTCTTCAACTCAAACGAGGCTTCAAACTAAGCCAAATGCAAAGCTCAAAGCTTGCAAACCTAGTGCCTTGTTATATGCTGAAAGAGATAACACCCAATTAACTTGTGGCAGCTGTAACAGAAAAGGTTCTTATCCTCCATTTTACTTAGAAAAGGCCTGTTGTAAATTTCTAGTAATAACAGTTTTCTGAACAAAACAACTCAGTGTAAACTGCAAATATACGAGTAGTCTTCAAAAACAGCAACATTTTTGAAGACTTCCTGTAGTAGAGAAAAACTGCTAGAATTTCTTATTGCTTTCTTTGAAAAGAAACATAGAGAGGAATGGTGTTCTTCAGTTGGGTCCAGGTGTTGTCCTGCAGACCTTATATTCCTGGGTAAGGAAGAGCAGGATCGTCATGATTACCCTGATTAAGGTTTCTAATGTTCTGTATAGGTCTGCTGTTAGCAACTGTTAAGTTCATATTTTCAGCATCGAAACATAATACCAGTCATCAGATTGTCCCTCACCTCAATTGAACTCACCAAACTCCTGCATGGAACCCTTTTTCGAGTTATGTGGCTTACTCCATCCAGACCCAACATTGCAACCAGAAAAACATTGTATTTGTTTTTATTCTATCATTGTGCTTGTCCACTTGCTTTCAACTTCCTGTTCCTGTTGGTTTTGCAGCTTGGTGCAATATGACTGCATCTTGTTTCTTCTCCATCCTTCCAACCTGTCTTGCAATCCTCCATTCTTTCCACTTGCATCCTGGTTTCTGTTTGATCTTTTGTTTGTTTAGCATGGTTACTCATACAACTGTGTTCAGAACTGACGTACCTCTTGGTCTTGTCGAGTTGAACAACGAAACCCCTTTTTTGTTTGTTTTATTGTTTGTTTGTTTCTTTTCCTGGCTAATCTTGTCACATTCAGCAGCTGCGTTCAGAAATGCTACTGTAAATCCAACAGGGCTAACCAGCATTCTTGCAAGATATCTGAACTATCCACAATTACCTTGTAAGTGTATGCAAACCTGTGGCGAATCTCTCTGTGTTTGATGCATGTTGCTCACATGTGGTCTGTAGCCATAGCAGCTGCTTAGAGTGGCATTGGTGTTCTTTGTGCCTTGCATGTCAGCTCTGGTTGCTTTGTTGCCTCTTGTGTGCTTTCAGCTTTGTTAAATTCAAAGGGAGATATACCACACTGCTACCTAGTACCATGAATTATGTAGTTTGGGCTTTTAAGTTTTAATTTCAAGGTGGGCAATTTTTGGAGGTTGGGGGCTACCCAGCTGCTCTGGAACTCACAAAGCTGCTGCTAGTTTTGGTGGCCAAACTTAGCAACACTGGGTCACAATCACGTGAGAAGTTTGGGTTGTAAACATGGACTGGCTACTGTGAATGAGGTGGGAATTTCTACCTCCTTGCCGTAGCTGCCCAGGAGACTGCATTAGGAGAGAGAAATGAGCCTTTCAAAGTAAATGTGTTGTTTATTCCATTGCAAAATCAGGGACAGACTCCACAAAGAACCTGGATTGGAGAGGGTAATATAAAAATGGATAGCCTCTGAGTCACTTGCTTCCTTGTTTACTTATTAAAATTATACCCCATTTTCTCCTGAAAATCGGTAATAAAGAGAGTGGCTCAAAAGAACCAGCATGGTGTAATTGTTACAGTGTTAAAATATGACTGGAGACCAGGACTCAAATCCCTGCTTGGCATGGAAGTCCACCAGGCAAAGCCTACTCTCAGAGGAAGGCAAAGACCATCTGAATAAATCTTGTCCAGAAAACCCTGAGAAAGGGTCACCTTGAGGTTGCCATAAGTTGGTGACCTACCTCATTTTAGTCTCTGAATACTCATAAGGAACGCCCATGTAATTAATCTGTCAGTCTTCCCTAAATCTGCTCCAGGTTTTCAATAATGTTGAAGGAACTATCCAAGGTGCTGAGAAATAGAGCTAAACATCAGCACCAGGTTAGTCTGAAACCTAAGCAGAGATCTTAGATCAGTGGCTCTCAACATCTGGGTCCCCAGGTGTTTTGGCCTACAACTCCCAGAAATCCCAGCCAGTTTACCAGCTGTTGGGATTTTTCAGAGTTGAAGGCCAAAACATCTGGAGACCCACAGGTTGAGAACCACTGTCCTACATCATATGGAATAACGCATTGATTCCGTTAAACAACCCAATTGTTGAATTGCAAGTTGTATAAATCACATTCCAGTATAATGGCACTACATGGACATGGAACAACTCCACTTCTGGAAACTTGAATTGGATGTGGATGTTCCACACTGGGCAAGCATTTTGATAGGGAAATGTATACATATACAAGAAATAACTAGGATTCCTTCCCTGAAGCAGCATCAGAGTGTTCCTAAATCTGCTATCAACAAATGGAATTATCTTCTTCTTAGAAAGTGGAGATCTCTCTCCAGAGAGACTATCTAAGATGTAAAATTGCTCCAACAAATGTTGGAAATGTGGGAAAGAAAAAGGGTACATTCTACCACACATGGTGGACTTGTAACAAAGTAAAAAATTACTGGAAACAGTTCCATGTATATCTTGAAAAAATATTACACACAAATTTCAAAATGACACCTCAAATGTACCCTTTGAATATGCCCAAGGAAGAATTAGAAAGAAAATTTGGAAAAAAATTGTTTTACACAACAGTGGCAGCTCGAATAGTATATGCTAGATATTGGAAAACCCCAGATATACCTCCTTTAGAAGAATGGGGAAATATATTATAGATATGTTGATAATGGACAAAATAACTGTATTATTAAGAGGAGAAATATTAGACAACTTCGTTAATGAATGGCAACCAATGATTCAACACCTTAATGTAAAGTTAAATTAAAAATGTATATAGAGGATCCTATAAGACTGTAGACAAGGAAGAAGTGGATGTAAAGTAAGAATCTATGATATCTTTTTATGTATTATTTAGATAGTAGACTGTGACCCCTTAATAGAAATATATTATGAGATAAATGATTATAGAACATTAATAGATAGAAAGTATTGCACTGTATGCAACAAACACTTGCAAATGTATGTTTACTTAAATAAAATAAAAATAATTAAATGTAAAAAAAGAAAGAAAAGAAAGTGGAGACCACCACCATGCCGGGGAGAGGTGGATGAGCTCCCTCTATCAACTCCAGCTCCTCATGTGGGGACATGAGAGAAGCCTCCTACAAGGATGATGAAAACATCAAAATCATCCGGGCATCCCCTGGGCAACGTCCTTGCAGACAGCCAATTCTCTCACACCAGAAGTGACTTGCAGTTTCTCAAGTTGCTCCTGACATGACAAAAACAAAAACAAAACCACCATGCCATTCTTAGAAGTGCATTTTTCCCCTTCCTGTGCTTCTTCCACCGTTCTTCCCAAAGTGTTTTGCTTTAAAGTTGTCTCATAATGGTCTGCATTTTTGTCACACATTTCCTTGAGTGTTCAGCACACCTGAACTAAATCTCAGCAATTCCTATAGTAATGATTCTGTATGGCAGAGTGGGATGTGTATTGGAGACTTCCTGACCATGGAACTCTCTGCCTCGGAATGTGGTGGAAGCTATTTCCGTGCGGGTTTTTAAACAGAGGCTGGATGGCCATCTGTCAGGAGTGCTTTGATTGTGTTTCTCCTGCATGGCAGAGAGTTGGACTAGGTGGCCCTTGTGGTCTCTTCCAATGTTATTATCATTCTATGATTTTATGATTCTAGGACAGAAAGTCAGAAATTTCAGAAATTGATCATAAAAATCAGGGGAGGCTTGCTTAAAGCTATCCTTCCAGTAAGATAAGTGATTTTTTTTTAATTCATGTTGTGAAAAGTTGCCAATAAGTTGCCAGAACATGTTTTCTCCAGAATTTTTCTTTTTGTTAGTGATGGTAAAGCCAACAAGTGACACTATCTCTCACAGTTGTTAGTTTCAGGCAGGAGCAACAATTCATTCTTAGTTTGAATTCCATTTCTTTTGCAGTCGATTCATGGTTTGAAGGAGCTGTCCAAGTGCTGAATACAGTGCTGGAAACAGGGTTCTGTATCTGGACAGCTCCCATAGAACCTGGTTGATCTGCAGATGAGCTGCCATTAGAACTAAAACTATATTATCTGCATCTAAGTAAGACATCAACTGGTTGACACTTTCACAAAGAGGGATGTCCACAAAACCTATCTGGAAGGCCAAGAAAGAAGGGCACAAACTCGTGCCTTTTCTAGATTACTTTCAGACTCTTCTCTGATCAACTGAGAAAAGCTTCTTTGATTGAGAACCACCCACAACCTATAAGTATTGGGAAAATATCATTGGGGTGTTCCAAGTGGGGAGGCTTACATAGACTTTACAGGATGAGTTGCGGGAAGATATGTTTTTGCAAACTCCATTCCACAAGCCTCTCAAAAGTCAGAACAGAAGTTGAAGCTATATATTAGGAATCTGTCAAAGCTGTTCATGCTTGTTTCAGAGTGAATAAGCAGTGTGCATTTTCATTGTAGAATTAATGCAGCTTGGCACACACCACAATTTCCATGGCTTAATGTTATGAAATCCTAAGAGTGTAGTTTTACAAGGTCTTTAACCTTCTCTTTCAAAGAATGCTGGGCCTCACCAAACTACTATCCAAGAATTCCATAACGTTGAGCCATAGCAATTAAAGTGGTGTCAAACTGTGTTAATCCTACAGTGTAGATGTACCTTGTAGATAGATGCACCAACATATCCAGACAGGATATTTAAAGCTATGCAATATAAGAAGTATTTCTGACAACTCCCACCGATCCTTGCTTGAAGTCTTTCCCATGATAACGACTGCATTCTAAAGGTATGAATAGCTTGCTGTTATCAGCTGGATTTCTGCTCTGTGGAAAAACCAGTGGGAGCTCAGCTCTGAGCTGGGGAGAATGGGAATTGCACCATTAATGCTTTGGTTGTGCTGCTTTCTGGCTTGTTTGCATGCATGGGCCATTTTGCTGCCATGAACCTCAGCTGAAAAGGAAATAATATGTGCAATAATATTGAGAAGAGTGGAAGCCCTCAGAAAAGTAGACTGGATTTTCCTGTCTTGCACAACAGTTTTCTACTTTAAGCAGAGATAGGCAAAGTGTTTGTGTGAGCCTTATGTGGCTCATGAGACCCCTCATTGAGAGTCCTAGAAGCCCTTCAAAGCCACCAGAACTGGATCAAGTTTCAAGTGATCTGCTTTGGGTTGCTGTGTGTTTTTTGAGCTGTATGGCCATGCTACAGTAGTATTCTCTCCTGATGTTTCACCTTCATCTATGGCTGGGATCTTCATAGGTTCTGGTGGCCAACAGAACCTCTGAAGATGCCAGCCACAGATCCAGACAAAATGTCAGGCATGAATACTACTGGAACATGGCCATATAGCCCAGAAAACCCACAGCAACCCAGTGATCCTTGCCATGAAAGCCTTCAACAACACAATCTGCTTTGGCCTGCAATTTGGCTAAAAATCTCCCTATATAATCTAACAATGCAGCATCTCTAAGTGATTCTATTTTGGCCCCAAAATTGGACGAAATCTAAAAATGCAGCAGTATTCTTCCCCTGCCTTTTCAAATGTCCAGGTCCAATCCTACTTCCCAAATAGAAGACTTCAGATTCTCACTGTTGACCTACAACTGGCATGGTCAGCAACATCTCTCCGTAAATTCAGAAAATCCTGGCTTGAAAGATCTCAAAGACTAGGACTGAGAGAGATACTGGAGAGCTGACAACAGTCAGCAGTAACAACATTGACCTCACTAACTGGACCAATGGGTTGGACTCAGCATAAGGAAGTTCATAGGTGTCACCTTGCCCTTGCTGAACAAGGAGATCAAAGCTTAATGATATTTCAGGCACAGTGGAGGTCTCTGTTGGCCTTTTCCCCTCCTTGTCATATCAGAACAGGCGCTTGCTGATTGAGTCCACCTCGATTCACAAAGGTATGTTTCTTTATCTCAACAGGAGGCTGGCCCGTTCGACCTTGCTTCTCATTCCACTCTTTGGGATTCATTACACAGTGTTTGCCTTTTACCCTGAGAATGTCAGCAAGAGGGAAAGGCTGGTCTTCGAACTGGGGCTGGGATCTTTCCAGGTGAGTTCAAGAGGCCTTGTCCATTTACTTTTCCATCCACCCTGTTGCTGTCAGATAGTTCTGAATGAAAAATTCCAACTGTAGGAAGTCAAATTCACCTTTAATTTTGGCATTTTGCAGAATGGAGGGGGGGGGGGAAACTTGGAAAACTATTTACTAAAGTTGAGTAAACTTGAACAAGAGTATATAATTGTCTGTGTTTACATAAAGCTCTCACGATTGGCAAAGAAAAACCAGCGTGAATACAGCATCAAATAATATAGAACAGCTCCACTATGCATATTCATCATAAAAATTCACAGATATCAAAAAATTATCTTAAAATTAGGCATGGATATTTCTATGTAAATGAAGCTCTTTCACCTAAATTTCATTTTTCCCTAACCTTCTTGCAACATCTCTGTTTTCAAGCTGGTTTGTACTACTCTAGACGTACTACACTGCCATATAATCCAGATTATCAAAGCAGATAATTTATTTTATTTATTTATTTACGGTGTTTATATGCCGTTCTTCTCACCCCGAAGAGTGATTATGTGGATTATACTACTGGAACATGGCCATATAGCCCAGAAATGGCCATGTTCCACATAATCTACTTTGAACTGGATTATATGAGTCTACACTGCCATATTATCTGGTTCAAAGCAGATAATCTGGATTTTATATGGCAGTCTAGAAGGGGCCTTAGAGAAAGGGATTAAAATGCTATCTGAAAAAGAACATTCTCTTGTACGTTCTTTGTTCTGAGCAGCTCGTGCCTCCAACTTTGACTATCTCAAATAACATCATTCACAATATGCCTCTCTCTGTCTTTTCCCTCAAGATCTAGAGCTATCTATTGCACTTTCAACCCCTTTAGAGGACCTGAGGCCAGAGATAGGGGAATTACACCACATGCCTAGCCAAAGTATCATGAGCAAAAAGGGTTGGGTTTCCGAATGGCAAAAAATCTCCCTTGAAAAGATATCCCAGAAATAGCTCCTTCCAAAGAAATATAGTTCAATGTGCTTGGAAGAAATAGAGATAGAAAGTAGGCTTGTGCATGAATTCAACATGGTTGGTTCCCTTCAGCCAATCTGGCTTGCTTAGCTTGGCCAGATAACCGTAACAGTAAGGGCCCAGTCATCACGTTTTTCTGTCTGTAACGGGACCATGTGGCAGCCAATCATGGCTCCTCCTCCCCTATTTGGCATCACAGTTAATAATAATCTTTAATAATAATAATCTTTATTTGTATCCTGCCACAATCTCCCCAAAGGAACTCGGGGCACCTCACAGAAGCACTCCAAGTGCCTCATGCAGACAACAATAGAGAAGTATGAATACAATAACATAAGTATAATCAACAGCACATAAAAAAATCTTGTTAATAAAATTATAAAAATTTGAAAATTATAAAATTCCTAATTTACATGAACCTTTCCATTTTCCAAGCTAGCATAACAGGGACATCCTGGCTTCAATGGTCTTGTTTGTTTGTTTGTTTGTGTTTTGGCTTGCCTTCTGGCTTGGCCTTTCTCTTGAATCTTTTTGAATTTTCTTTATTTTCTTGATTCTTTTTATTGAGTGGGACTGACTGGGAGTTGGGAATGTGTGGAACAGGTGGGTGGCGTGCGTACGTGCATTTCAAGGCTTGGAAAGCCACCTTTATCACTTCTTTTTCTCCTCCCCTCCTCTCCTTCAGAAATTACTTCTAAAAGATAATAATAATAATAATAATAATAATAATAATAATAATAACCACAACAAACAAAAAGAAAAACCTGATTCTCAGAAAACTACTACCACCTAGCTATTGCTCCTCTAGAGTAGAAAGTAGCAACAGCTTTAAGGAAGTGTTAAACCTGAAGCAGAAAGGCACGAGGGGGGGGAAAGGCTCCAGGTAGGGCCTGAAGTGCATATCAAGAGGAAAGAGAGGACTTTTTAAAGGAAGCCCTGGGAGATAGCTCCAGGTCGATCACTCTTTTTTTCCTAGGAAGTGGGAGCCTCCTTAAAATGCCTTGTAATGCTGCATGCAGGGAGAGAGAGTGGTGCAATACCTGTAGCACCTGTCTTCTCTAGAGTAGAAATAGACAGCTGTAACAATTTATTTATTTATTTATTTATTTATTTTTAACTTTATTTGTACCCCGCTACCATCTCCCCAAGGGACTCAGTGCGGCTTACATGAGGCCAAGCCCAAACACAACAACAAAAGCAATAAAACATCAATACAAGCAATTAAAAACATAGACAATAAAAAACAACATTATCAAAAAAGCAACACATAGTTAAAACAGTGGGGAGGCCAAATGTAAAGTTAAAATTGGAAATAATGCTGAGCCATGAACAAGAGGTGATACTAGTGTTTGTGGAGGGCACTAAACCCAGTCTTCTCTACACACAAAAGGGAAAGGATCACAGAAAGAGTGGTATCTTAACTCTGACGCTTTTAATGCAGGTTGTAATGAAGGATATAAGGACAAGCAATACCTAATATGTGAGGTCACAACCTCTGAGGATTCTTGCCATAGATGCAGGCGAAACGTCAGGAGAGAATGCCTCTAGAACATGGCCATATAGCCCAAAAAACCCTACAACAACCCAATACCTAAAATGATGGGAAGGAGAGCCTGGGAAGTTGTCCCCCCATAATGGGCCAGATAGAGTGCTTTCTTAACCCCGTTACCGAAACCCAGGCTCCCTTGATGGGAAAAAAGGAAAGAATCCCAGGAAGGGCAACTTCTTAATCCCATTGCTTACACCCAGACTCCCTTGAAAGGACAAAAGGAAAGGGTCCCAGGAACAAAAAAGGGAGCCTCATAAGTTCCCCAGTGCAGCCAATGTGCTGGATCTAGCCATATTTTTCAGGCGCAGACCAAAAACGGCTCTCCGGCTACCTGCCCATTTTTGGGAGGAGCACAAAAATGGATATGGGGGTCTACCACAATTCAGCCAGCAGAAACGGATCTAGGTTCAGCTGAAATGCACAAGCATAATAGATATTTAAAGAACATCTGGAAAAAATGGTCAAAAATCAAGGTTTTTTTAGTGTCAGGAAAATCTAATGAGAAAAATACTATACTGAGGAGAATCTTCCTGGTTCTTCTCCAGGATTGGACAAAATAGCAATTACTTGTACTAGTCACTACTTCAGTAACCTTGGATCTGTAGTTATTTTTAACTATTTTTTCAAACATTGCTCCAAACATAAAGAGATCAATTTAGAATATTTTGTTACAGGCTGAGTATCTCTTATCTAGAATTCCAAAATCTGAAATACTACAAAATGTCTATTTAAGTGCCTAGGAAAGTGACACCCTTGCTTTCTTGTATTCAGAGTGCACAAAGTTTGTTTTTCATATAACATTATAAAAATATTGCATAAAATATGTGTATAAAGTGTATTTGAAACATCAGTGTGTTTTTTATTTAGACTTGGAACCCATCTCCGAGATATCTCCTCATGTACATATGTGCAAATAGAAATATTCCAAAATCCAAAACACTCCTGGTGTGAAGCATTTCAAATAAAGGATACTCAGCATGTATTTTTGGAAGTTCCCAATGCATCTAATAATATGATCGTGTTCTCTTTTTTTGCTTCAGGGCTTTGTGGTTGCTGTCCTTTACTGCTTCTTGAATGGGGAGGTAAGCCTTTGGGATGGTTGGTTACTTCTCCTTGTAGTCTGAAATCTGCTTACATTTCCATCTTTCCATCCCTCTGCTTTTCCTTACCCTTTGTCAAAATCTGCCAGGATGGAGTCCCATTCCTCTTAGCAGTGGTTCTTGACCTGTGGGTCCCCAGGTGTTTTGGCCTACAACTCCCAGAAATCCCAGACAGTTTACAGCTGTTATGATTTCTGGGAGTTGAAGGCCAAAACATCTGGGGACCCAGAGGTTGAGAACCACTGCTCTTAGGAACATTTCCCTCAAAAAACTTAGAATAAGCCCTATCAAGCTTGAAAAAGGAAGCCAGGGGAAAACCATCACAGTGATGGACTCCCAAGTCCACATCAGCTTAGCTTCTCACATCCTGGCCCTGTCTTTCTCCCAGATCTCCAAAGTAGATTCAACACCTTGTATCAATCCTTTAAGGTTCAGATTGAAACCTGGATTGGATTCACACAGGTTCCACTAACAAGCCTCTCATTTTCTTAGTCTGGAAACATTATTTCTTCCAGGCATGTGTCATCTTTCATAGATGTTTATGAAAGTAATAGGAATATATTTTCCTCCCAGAAAATGGTGAAGAAAAAATGTTCTTGGCATTTATAGTTATTTCAACATCTATATAAATAAAAATGTAATGTTCATTTGTGGGAATAACATGACTCAAAATCCATAGGACAAAATTGACACAAATTTGGACACAACACACCTATCAGGCCAATGAGTGACCATCACTCATAAAGACACTGGAAAACACAGTGGAAGAGACTTTAAAAGCCCAAAATTAAAAAAAATACCTTACAACGCATGAACATAACCACATATATACACAAATATATAGACACACATATATACACACACAAAACACGTATATACAAACTGAGCCACAGCAAAGCGTGACAGGGGACGGCTAGTTCATTATAAAATTGCTCTGGATTTTATTTGAGTCAATTTAGAAATGACTTGAAACAAACACGTTTTTTCATTGATATGTATGACAGCAGCAAGGCATCAGTAAATACAGAAATTAGTATTGTTTTTAAATATGTTGTCAGTCACTTTGAGTCCCATTATTGGGAGAAAAGTGGGATACAAAAGCTGATGATGATGATGATGGATCCAAAAATGATGATGAAGATGAAGATGTAGGATCAAAAATTTCAGTCTTTATGGGACAAAAAATTACACAAGGCTATTTTCAGTTATAAATAATGTGTGTCAATGCTTATCTATCTCTAGGTTAGCATAAGTCATAAAATGCACTAGATGGGTGGTTCACAAACTTTGGTCCTCCAGATGTTTTGAACCTCCCAGATTTCCTGACTTTTGGCCAAGCTGGCAGGGACTTCTGGGAGTTGTAGACCACATCCTTTTGAGGTCCAGTGTTTGGGAACCACAGCACTAGGTCATTCTTATCAACAAGGCCATAACTAGGCATGCCTTGCCTTCAGCTTACTTAGGCGTTGCTCAATTTTAAGGTCTTAATGAAAGGTTCTACTGTGTTTGGAGCTGGCTCTCTTTGTTAATACAGCTTTTGGCCTCAGTCTTGTGAGATATTGTTGAACCTGCAGTAACTAATGTACAGTACAGTCATCCTCTTCAGCATCCTGACCATTCAGAGCCAAGCCCATTCTGGACACCTTCTTCCACTTCATATACATCTCCCCATTCTGGGTTGCCTTTTTTGATCAGTGAAAGAATGTGAAGGAATGTTTGGAAATTTGAGCATGAAATTGTGATGGGAATGGAACTATGCATATCAATGCCAATCCGCAAAACATGCATGCATGCTTGACCTCCAGCTTTTATGTGTTCAGTCATGATGTTTGTAGCACTTCCCTCATGTTCCCGAGAAACCATCATGAGTTTCTTGGCAATGACATGGCTCCAGTCACCACACATTTGTTCAATATGGCATCAGTTCTTGTCAAGATGGCTTCCAATAGAAATGGTGATGGTGGTGAAGTATTCATAGTTTATTGAAATGTATGGAGCTGCTTTGAATTGGTATATTTAATCAACTAAAGCAGGGTTTCTCAACCTGGGGGTCGGGACCCCTGGAGGGGTCGCGAGGGGGTGTCAGAGGGGTCACCAAAGGCCATCAGAGAAACCCAGTATTTTCTGTTGGTCATAAGGCTTCTTTGTGGGAAGTTTGCCCCAATTCTATTGTTGGTAGGGTTCAGAATGCTCTTTGATTGTAGGTGAACTATAAATCCCAGCCACTACAACTCCCAAATGTCAGGGCCTGTTTCCTCCAAACTCCACCAGTGTTCACATTTGGGCATATTGAGTATTTGTGCCAAGTTTGGTCCAGAGCCATAATTGTTTGAGTTCACAGTGCTCTCTGGATGTAGATGAACTACAACTCCCAAACTCAAGTTCAATGCCCACCAAAAGCTTCCAATATTTTCTGTTGGTTGTGGGAGTTCTGTGTGCCAAGTTTGGTTTGATTAGATCATTGGTGGAGGTTAGCATGCTCTTTGATTGTAGGTGAACTATAAATCCCAGCAACGACAAGTCCCAAATGTCAGGGCCTGTTTATAGAATCATAGAATCATAGAATCAAAGAGTTGGAAGAGACCTCATGGGCCATCCAGTCCAACCCCCTGCCAAGAAGCAGGAATATTGCATTCAAATCACCCCTGACAGATGGCTTATCCCAAACTCCACCAGTGTTCACTTTTGGGCATATTGAGTATTTGTGCCAAATTTGGTCCATTGAATGAAAATATGTCCTGCAAATCAGATATTGACATGACGATTAATAACAGTAGCAAAATTACAGTTATGAAGTAGCAAAAATAAATGATTATTTATGGTTGGGGGTCACCACAACATGAGGAACTCTATTAAGGGGTCGTGGCATTAGGAAGGTTGAGAAACCCTGAACTAAAGCTTCAATTGATTGATTCATGGGGATCAAAGATGCATCTACACTGTAGAATGAATACAGTGTGACACCACTTTAATAGCCATGGCTCAATGCAATGGAATCATGATAGTGGTAGTTTAGTGAGTGGCAGAGAAGGCAAAAGACCTTGTGAGCCTGCATGGGGAAACCTTTGAATGCTTTGTCTTGCATTGTTTCAAGAATGTTCTGATTTTTGTTTAAAGAGATTATTGTATCAGCATGAACCCAAGCACCTAAGTACATTAAAAAATGACCTCTTAAAGTTTCTCCCTAAAGGTGCAATCAGAAATAAAGAGGAAATGGAGGAGCTGGAAAGTCAACCGGTATTTTGCTGTGGATTTCAAGCATCGCCATCCCTCTCTGGCAAGCAGCGGAGTGAACGGGGGGACGCAGTTGTCCATTCTGAGCAAGAGCAGCTCACAGATTCGCATGTCGAGCATAAATGCGGAGAACCTGGCAACATGAGTCCATAAAACCACCTCCCTTCCCGACTCCCTCCCAGCAAGAGAGAGCAAATCCCTTGGAAACCAACAAAAAGTCATATTCTTGGTGGCGTGGGTTGTTGTGTGTGTCTCTCTGTGTCTTTTTTAAAAACAAAAACAAAACATCTCCCTTTTATTAATAAGAGAGTGAGATCGCTCTGGAGTCATGGCATCTCTGATGAGTGGAAGAGTTGGTGTCGAAAGGTATTGTAAGTACGCAATGGAGATCATCCAGACAAGACAAGACATTCAACCCACCCACTGTCCCAGCGAGCTGCAAATAATTCCATCTTTGGCCTTGCGTTTCTGGTGATCGTTGTGCCATTGTGAGTTTGGTTGCCATGCTGATACTTGTGAAAGAACATCTCATGGAATTTGTTTCTGCTCTCTGTTGCCATTTCGAGCACACCTCCCTTCATCTTGGACCATCGTGGACCTTTCTCCTTGTGCTTTTTCATGACTCGGAATGTAACTCAGTCCCCAGGTGGGCTCATTACCAGCCTTGACATTGTGAACATTGAGGTGGATTCCACCAGAAGCATTCAGAGCATCAAATGCATCTGTGGAGGGTCAGCTGAACAGAGCAGGTGACACAAATGGATGATCTACACATGTGGAGTCATTGGTATCATCCTGCCTCCAGGAATGTATCAGAAATGTTGAATTAAGCTGTGAATTTTCTAAAAAGGCAGTCCCCGCTATGATAGAGCTATATTTTTGAGATGGATGGGTTAGTTTATTTTTCCCTTCATTTTGTAAGAAAAGCAAAACAGACATGGAAGTGGAGGGGAACCTATATATGGTTGCCCCGACATTCAATATTGATGAGTTCCAGGAATGTGTACCTTCTTTTGGACTACATGTTTCATTGGCATTTCTCCATGGAAATAGAGGTTGAAACTGGACATGGTGACCTGCAAATGACGGGTGTTCTTTGGGGGGTGGCACAAAGTGGGAGTCCAAGGTTCACACCTAAAGGGCTAGGGCACCAATTCTGTGGATTATGTAGCCAAAAAGAAAAGCCCTACACATAAAACCTGAAATCCATCATGGCGGTCCACAGAAGGTCCAGCTGAGTGATCTGATGCCATGTAAGAGAAATATGAAAGACTTTGAAAGTGGGAGAAATGTGTATATATATATATTTGAATGTATGAGCTTTCTTCAGCTGAGCATTTGAAGCCTAAATCCAATGGTTAGACCCAACTAGAGTAGATCGCTTGAATCAAGTCATGAATGAATTTGGCACTTGTGTCATTTCAATGTATTCAATGGATCTACTCTAGAAATGCAACCAGCAATTGGATTTACGCCAGTGGGATTTAGCTGGGAAAAGGTCATTTAACGCGTTTGATTTTGGGTTGGAGGAAGGAGGAAATCCTTTTTCGATCCTGCCTTACAGTCAGAGCCACAACTGAAACATAGCTACTTCAGCCGAATTACCACAATGATGTCAATTTTTAGGAGGCCTTGTGTAATGAATGCACAAAGTCTCCAAAGGACTCTTCTTAATTCCACTGTGGATTGCCGGAGCCTTTCTAGATGTTTCAATATCCTTTCCAATGTGAGTGTGTAAACCTCTGTGTGTGTGAGGGTGTGTGCACATTAAAAAGGAATATATATTCATTTTTTAATGTAGAGTATATATCTGTATAATATTTTTGTTAAACACTAAAGAATGAATGCAAGCTCTCGATGGCCAAGACAATTGCAATGAAAGGGCTGGTTCTTTCTCCTTAATTTCAGTGAATGGAGTTGTTTTTCTAAAAGGTTTGGAGAAGAGATGTCATGGTGGAGGGAAGACATTTCCCTGAAAAACAATCTGGAACCTGGTTCATATATGTTGAGCTGCCCAATCTTTTTTTAAGAGCACAGAAATTCTTACCATGCAACGAATATTGAACATTTGATACTAGTCCTTGATACACAAGGTGTCATGATTTATGTGACATGACAAAGAAGATTTTTGCATATAGACCTCCATACATATTATTCATATGGTGGTCATGTAATGCAATTACATCAGTTGTATGATTGAGTTGAGGAACCTCTCCAGGCTGGCGTTATCATTAAAAGTGAGGCAACAATCTCAGAAGGCAGATGTTGGAAACATCAGCCACCACATCTATCTTCCTGTTTCTTCTTAGACTTTGGGCCACTTCTTTCAGACGTTTCACACAGCCAATCCAGCTTTTGTATGTGGAATAGAAAAGGCAGATCATTTTGTCTTTCTCTTATGACAACAACAACAAAACCCTTGGGCTGGCTTCATGTCTTTCTCAATCTGAAGAGGATTGGATTCCTCAAAATATATAACCCAGGTCCAGAGTGGAGAGTTTGGATACATTGGCCTCTTGGCGTCCTAAATGTTGATGCAGAGGTTCTGATGAAGATGGATTTCTTGCATATGAATGTTCACTGCAGCTCCTTTTCTAAATCGTGAAGAATGTTCACTGATCTCTTTCCCCTTGTCTATTTTTCATATCCCTACTTGGCTATAGAAACCGGGGCCCTCCCACACTAGACAACAATAGCTCCTTTATGATTCCTCTTTCACTGCCATGGCTGCATCCTTCTGAATCCCAGGGATTTGTAATTTGGGGAAGCACGAGAAGAGCTCTGTGGCCAAGAATTCTAAGCACCTCTCCCTAAACTATAAATCCCAGGATTCCATGGCATTCAAAGTAGAATCATGGTGCTAAAATTGTGTACTGTGTAAGGGTCCCCTTTGGTTTTCCAAGTTCCAGCTCAATTGTATTTGGCTTCTCTGGTCAACAATGTATGAAGTGGGGGACGTCAATCTTCACTTCCCTGCCAGGAACAATAGAGCTTGCATATCCTGCTCTTTTGCAACTATGGCTTGTTCCTGCCATTGAGGTTGAACAGGAAGTCTCTCTTATTCCGAAGTCCTTTCTATGCACTAGAAATGTCACGGGGCTTTTGGAAAAGGCAGATGGCTACCACTGGGATGCCTTTAGCTCAGAGTGGTTGCCATTTCCCCTGTATGTTGAATATCGGTTGCAAGTTACAGACTCTTGCTTAGCCCTGATACATTACCTTTGACCACCATTCAGAGTTTGGTTGGCTGTCAACTTCCCTATAACCACTAAGGGGTAAAGCAAACCCAACTAGGGCCCAGGGGACTTGGGCACTATGTTTGCCAGCCATTGGAGAAAAAAAGGGACTCATGTCCTTTTTGGAGAACTGGATCAGGGCCACTGTGTATAAATGCTCTTGGGTTTTTCTTCTTGAGTTTTGTTATCTCTCAGTTGTAACGTTTGCTATGTTGAGTTGTTGTTTTCAAAAGTTACTTTGTTTCTAACGGAGAAAAAATGGAATGGAATGGTCACCTCTTAGCCAAATAATTCAGGAAAGATGTCTAATGGGAAACCAGATTGCTTTCCTAAGGAAGACTTAACTCAGCTTGATGTGGAACCAGTTGTTATGATACTTTTCCATGTTGCTCTAGGAATGTATAAGAGCGGAAAGATTCATGGAAAGGATCATCTTAATTCCATCCATCATTTGGGCTATGGATATGGTAGTTATTCTTTCTCACTTGGTCTTGTAATTACAATAGAACCCTCATATCTGCTGGGAATATACCCCAAGACCATCGACCCCCATTGATACCTGATCCTATAGATAAGAGTGAACTCTATATTTTGATTATACTTGGGCTGGAAGCATATCATCCATCAGCACTAGTGGAAATACACTATTTGAAACGTGGGTAAGTGAAACCATGGATATTAAATCTGTGGATAAGAGGGTTGTGGTGTATGGCATTGTTTCTTCATTCCAACATGGTTGGGAAGAGAACATGGAGATCTGCTTTTGACATCACTACAAATAACAACCCCAATGACTTGGCTGTTTCATCTTAATCTAGGTTTGCCAAGTAGGATGCAAGATGAGGCTCTTGACATTAAAATCCCAAGATGGTGAGAAATAATAACATATCATAAAACTCTATCAAGAAGGACCTGCCTGCTCTTATTTTCGAATCTCAACTTTCAATTGCACCTGTCCCTTCCCAACTACTATTCAAAAGCATCAAGTGCCCAGGTGAACACACCTATATCCAGAAACACTGGTGGGGACAGCCAAGCCAATTCCAAGATTTACAAAGGGTTATAGACACCACCATGGTCCAGGTTCAAAGGGAGAAAGCAGCTCTGAACAAAGTCGCCCATTGATGCTGGAAAGTTTAGTCTAGAAGTACAAGAGCCAGGAAGCCAAGAATATCCTGTGTGGTTACAGAGAGGTTTGGGAACTGTTGTTTTGCAGCAACAGAATGAACTGTGTGAACTGATTCACAGCCAGCTATTAATCAGCCCAGTTGGCCTTGTTAGTTCAGCATCCCATGTTTAAACTGGTACATGACATTTCCTGACCTTTTGTTCTTGGCACTTTAATTTTGCTAAAATAGGTGAAAGGCCTCTTCTTTCTTCTGATCTGCAGCTGGTTTCTAGGATGGGCTGGGCTTTGCCATGCCTCCTCCAGCTCCTACTGGACCCTATAATTCTGGCTTTCTTCTCCCCTTTTTTTGTCCAAGGAGTCCTCTCCAGATAGGACATAATCAACATGACTGTGGCCTCCCTTATGGAGCACGGAGGCAAGATCTTGCTCTATCACCAGTGCCTCCATAGCCTTGCCTTACTCTACACTTACAAGGCTGTGTTGAGGAGGGGCAGGTGCAACTCAAAGGTAGAGTTTGAGAAGTAAAAGAGGACAGGCATCTCCATTCCATTTGAGAGTTCGGTGTTACCTTGTTTTACTCCAAGCTCAGTTCAAGATTGCAATTATAGGAGCCAAATCTGAAGTCCAATCTGTCTCTGAAGAAAGCCTGAGGCTGCAAAAATCCACTACAAATACTTACAACCAAAGGGAAGCATACTTCCCAACCTTGGTTTTTGTTCACCACAATACATGGATAGACTTCTTTCTTTAGGTTTTCATTGTAAAAATAGAATCCCCCTTTTTCCTTATAGTAAAATGAGAAGAGCTCCTGTGTATCTATTAGGTAGGGGAAGTATGGCACATCTCCACAAGCCATATTGTGACGCCTGGACCCCACTTTTACGGCTTCTGGCACACCCCAAATTTAATATTTTGTATCTTTTCAAATGATTTTTGTCCCCAACCATACAAAACAAATGTAGCACCAACAACCTCCCTAAATATCCAATGCATATCTACCCCTCACACATTTTCTTCTCTGGGAGCAAAAGGGGTGATAATTTCACACACTATCAAGCATTAGACCTTGCAGAATAAAGTTAGGAAAACTGGGACCCAATTCCTACACAGATGCATTAGAGCCAAAATCACTGACATGGAGCAAGTTTTGGTGAATCAGATAGTTAGAATTCAATTGGATGAAAAGAAAAATGTTATCCTGACTATATCCAGTGGGCTGCTTTCATCTTTTGATGGCTTGGTGTTATGATTGGAAAGAGTAATCATTTGTGAACTATTGCCCATCTCAAAAAAAGAACAACTGAAGTCCAAGAAATCATGGTTTCCACCCTGTTAGTGAATTACAAAAGTGTTTAATTAGAAGATTGGAAATTCCCTTTTTTCGATGTTGCAGAGGTTGGAAATCTCTACTGAATACTCAATGACCAAAATACACCCTGAAAACCCCACTTTCTTTTCTGCAGCTTGCTGAACCCAGAGATTTCCTAGAAGGGGGAGAGTTGGAAGAGCAACAAACAGACATTCAGTTTGTGTGTGTGTGTGTCAGGAGCAACTTAAGAAACTGCAAGTTGTTTCTGGTGTGAGAGAATTGGCTGTCTGCAAGGATGTTGCCCAGGGGATGCCTGGATGTTTTGATGTTTTACCATCCTTGTGGGAGGCTTCTCTCATGTCTTTGCATGGGGAGCTGACAGAGGGAGCTCAACCCGCTCTCCCCGGATTCAAACCGCTGACCTGTCAGTAAGCAGTCTTGCTGGCACAAGGATTTAACCCGTTGCCCTACCAGAGGCTCCAGTTATTTTCTGAGATACAGAGCAACAACACCATCTATGAAGGCCACTTGGGAAGTTCTAGAGGTCTCTATGGATGAGTGTCATTGTACAGCTAGCCATTGCGAAATAGAAGAATACTCGTTTGCTGTCATGTCCTTTGGAAATTTCCAGGTTCAAGAGGCCACAGCAAAGAAAAATACAGATTCATGAGGACCTTCAATGGTCCTGGCTTAGAATAGCCCCCCTCCCCCAAATCCATCCCAGTTACCCATTCCCAGTCCAATCCATTAATTTATTCTCCAAACTCAAACTCCAGTCTAGTTGTACCATCAAAATTGTGTTCCCAATGGAACCACTGTACTCCTCCATACATATTTTGTATTGAAGAGGGAATGGGTAGATGGGGCAAGAGGTGATTCTTTTCATTTGTCAGCCTTCAAGGGAGTAGAAACCAAAATGCCAAATTTGCTTCTACAGGTGATGTAAATATCTGTTCTTGGTTTAAACAGTGCTGCGTTTCATTTCTTTCCTTTTCCCCCCTCCTCCGCTGCTGAGATATATTTTGGAGTTTATGAGAATCTATGTTATTAAAAAAGAAAATGTAATAATAATAATAAAACATTTGTTGTGACACGTTTCTTGGAATCATTTTACAAACAAACATGCGAACATACAATCACATTTGTTTTGGAGGATATCTTAGTCACTCATTTATTATATTTATATGCCACCGGCCCATCTTTGCTCCAAAAACTTAAGAGTGGTGTACAAGCATCCTGATTTGCTTCTTTGTTGTTGTGTTCCTTCAAGCCATTTCCAGCTTATTCAGGTAAAGGATTTCCCCTGACATTAAGCCCAGTCATGTCCGACTCTTGGGTGTGGTGCTCATCTCCAATTCTAAGCCGAAGAGCCAGCATTGTCCATAGAGACCTCCAAAGTCATGTGGCTGGCATGACTGCATGGAGTGCCGATATCTTCCCACGGAAGCGGTACCTATTGATCTTCTCACATTTGTATGTTTTCTAACTGCTAGGTTGGCAGAAGCTGGGGCTGATAGCAGAAGCTCATGCCGCTCCCTGGATTCGAACCTGCGACCTTTCAGTCAACAAGTTCAGTGCTTTAACCCACTGCACCAATGGGGGTTCAATTCCAGCTTATGTATCATGGTGTTTTCTGGGGTTGAGAGTATGCAGTTTGCTCAAAATCACTCTGTGGGTTTTCAGGACTAAGTGGAATTTTAACCATGGTCTCCAGAGTCATAGTCCAGTGCTCAAGCCACTGCACCATGCCCTGAACTCTGTTAGAAGTATACAATAAGGATTACTGAGCTACTTTTGGCAAAATGCCTTAAACAGGAGATATATTGGGGATGAACTACTGCACCATTTAGTTCAGGCATAGGAAAACTTCATCCCTCCACATATTTTGGACTTCAACTACCGGTAGGCTGTTAGGAATCGTGGGAGTTGAAATCCAAAACACCTGGAAGGCCCAAGTTTGCTCATGCCTGCTTTAGATGCTATTCGAGTGGAGTTCCCATCACACCAAGCTAACATACCCAATGGTGAGGAATCCTAGATTCCAACATCTCCATGCTCACAGACACTCACCCTGGCTGAAAATGGTGGTGAGAAATAACATCTTACTCAATATAGATTCATAATTACTGTACCTAACAAAAATGGTAGCTCCTCCTCACAAATTCTCTTTATCATTCTTTCTCATGGCACCCCAACCCTGAAAATCTGACATAAAATTCTAGTTTTGGTGGGTTGCCAGCAAAGTTGTGGTTCTCCTCCGAGGAACCATTCTATCATCAAGCCAGCCTAGCCAGCAGTGTACTTATATACAGTCACCCAAACCAACAACAAGCCAGTTTTGGGATCACTCTATACAGCCTAAAGACTTCAGATTCCCATCCTTGGGCTGAGGCCAAAGTCTCCTATTGTACAGCTACTGCCCTCGGCTGGAATGCTAGGACTGGATATTTTCCAGTGATTCTGAGGACCAGACAGTGTTTGAGTTTCAGACAGAAGCAAGATCATTGGGGCAGACACTCCTTTTGGGACTGATTCTGTCCAACAGAGATAACTGTGTGACATAATTCGTCGGACTGTAATCTCTGGAGAGGCTTCGGTGCTTCCGAGTGAAGCTGAGGTAATGCTGGTAGTGCCACTTCCGGAGACGTTTCTTGAACTCGGCTTGAACCTGTGATGGAGAAAGTGTTGGCATGAACAGAGGAGCAAACCTAAATTAGAGCTATAAAACAGAACTGAACTTTGCACACTAATCTATGTTACTGCATAGATGCCCACCTGGAATTATTCTAAAAGTTGTGCTCTCTCGGAAATCCCCAATAAATACTGACCTTTAGAAAAATATGGAATTATGTATGTCCAAAGCTCAAAGCCACTGAATCTGAGTGGAAGGGATTAAACGAAATGGACCTCCAACTTTTTCCATTTTTTGCTGTCTGAGACTCTGCTTACTAGGAGACACTCCCTACAGCAGTGGTTCTCAACCTGGGGTCCCCAGCTGTTTTTGGCCTACAATTCCCAGAAATCCTAACAGCTGGTAAACTGGCTGGGATTTCTGGGAGTTGTAGGCCAAAAACATCTGGGGACCCCAGGTTGAGAAGCACTGCCCTACAGGTTACTTGGGAGACATTATTTTTAATCTAATATGGACCAAATAATTGGCCTTAGGAGGCACATGGACTTCAAAGCCACACTTTGCTCATCCATGACTTAGAGTAGTGGTTCTCAATCTGTGGATCTCCAGATGTTTTGGCCTTCAACTCCCAGAAATTCTAACAGCTGGCAAACTGGCTGGGATTTCTGTGAGTTGTAGGCTAAAACACCTGGGGACCCAGAGGTTGAGAACCACTGGATTAGAGGATCCAGATTGTTAGGTTTCATGACCAGAAAAGAGCAAGGGGTGAACGTGACATTTGTGGTCTACAGAAGCACATCAAAACTCCCTCCCTCCCTACAAGGGTCCTTGAAGGTCTCTTCTTGGGAAATGGGGTACCACACTTTCATTTGCAAATAAAGTTTTCCATAAATGTTTCCTTGTTTCCACTTACCTCTCCATTTAAGAAACAGTACAGGAGGGCCACCAAGAAACCCTTGAAAAGGAGACAAGAATAAGAACAGATGTTTCTTTAGGATTTGGACTAATAACCATGACTGCATGAAAGGTTTAAAGTGGTATGGACATGGCAGATGAGCCAACAGAAAGTTGAGAAAGAGGCTATAAGTGTGAAAGCTATAAACCCTAGCAAGCAGACTTAAGCAGAGATTACTCTGGTCATTGATGAGGCAGGCTCATGTCAGTTGTCCAGTTATGCACCAACCTCTTCTGGAGTGTTTTAATATGAAAAACCATACTGGACTATGTTACTTTCCCATTCTCCTAAATCATCCTGTGTTGGACAGGAGCACTTAATTAATTATCTTAACATACTAAATAAGAGAGATAACAATATGGTCATCTCTACCCTTATCAGACAATGATGCTGGGGAATATGGAAGGAAAAGGGAAGAGGGGCCAATCCAGGGCAAGATGGATGGATGGTATCCTTGAAGTGACTGGCTTGACTCTGAAGGAACTGGGGGAGGTGACGGCTGACAGGGAGCTCTGGCGTGGGCTGGTCCATGAGGTCTCAAAGCATTGGAAGCAACTGAACGAATGAACAACAACAACCCTTATCAGCCAGGATTTGCCCTGGAAGACATCTGTTGCAAACCCTCTCTTTGGGCCAATACATATTCTCAACTGCCAGGGTCATATAAAAGCACAAACATTTTTGAAAGAAAGATGCTAAGGGATAGGTATACATTGAGAATTTACACAGTCCACCTAAATCTCCCCATTACAATGATCTTCCAGAGATTTCTCCTTTTCTTCAACCCTTACCTGGAATGATCCTACACCCAGTTCAAGGTAGAGTCGAGCAACCATCCCGATACTCTCTGGGAAGAAGGCAAAGACAACATAGTGTGCTCCAAAAAGGGGAATGAGGAGCAAAGTGGATTTGGCCAGCCTCCTGAAAGAGAGAACATTGAAAGAACCATGGCTCAAAAATGGCTACGGAGAACCTCCTGACTGTACAACCAGTAAGGTACCATTAAGGATGAAAAGATGAAGTCAACCTCATATATAAGTTGGAGGCAAATTTTGGTTTGATAGATCGATATGCTTCATGCTAATTCAAGGGTTTTTCTGCAGAATGGGGAAATGCCAGTGCCCTCCACCATTTTCCTGGTCAAGTATGCAAAAAGGGTAAAACTGGTGCTATGACAGATAATAAAAATGGTAATACCAGAATAAGAAGACAATACCACCGAATATAGGTATTTCAGACAAATATAGAATATGTGCTCAGTTTATGTCAATACTAATTCAGGTATCTGCGGCTAGGAATAATATGAGAAGACAATGAAGATTGTATGAACTGAGTGGACTAAGTTAAAGGTGTTGAAAGAACATTAGTATTGATTTACTGTATATGATGTTTTTATGTTGACAGCATATGAATTGTTTACTGTTTACTCATAAATTTGTTTACTGTGTAAAAAACTTGGTGCAATGACAGAGAAATTAGAAGGTTAATTCTTCTTCTCTTTTGCCATGTTAGTAAAATAGGAGTCCTTTTTTAAAGTTACGGTACAGTACTTACATTGACTTGTGAATAAGTCAACCTATTCCTGTCACAAATGTCCATTGCTGAAGTAAGGGGGCTGGATGCATCATCCTACGGCACCTTCCTTGCATGTTTTTGATGCATTTATGATTATGACGATGGTGTGCCAATCAGTTCATGTAAGCCGCACCGAGATGGTAGCGGGGTACAAATAAATTATTATTATTATTATTATTATTATTATTATTATTATTATTATTATGGTCTTTGAGACTGGAATCTGCTGCTGCCTAGGAGTGTGCTGGAGTCTCCTTCTCTGGAGGTTTTTCAACAGAGGCTGGATGGTCATCTGTTGGCAGGGCTTAGATTGTGACTTTTTGCATGGCACGCGGACTGAATGGCCCTGTTCAAAGTCTATGATTCTGTGATTGCTTACATGCAGATACAGTTGGTCCTGCATATTTTTGGATGTTGTACCTACGAATCCATCCATGCCTTGGGAAATCCCCTACCCCTCAAGAAAATTAAAAAGGAAACTTGGACTTTTGTCATGTTATATAATGGTCACCATTATATTATTCCATGGTATATAATGGGGCTTGAGCATGAGGGGTCTTGGAACCAAAGCCCAGCAGATACCGAGGGGTCTCAGTTACATGATTGTATTGTCGAAGGCTTTCATGGCCGGAATCACTGGGTTGTTGTAGGTTTTTTCGGGCTATATGGCCATGTTATGGAGGCAATTTTCAGGAGAAAAATTGCCTCCAGAACATGGCCATATAGCCCGGAAAAACCTACAACAACCCAGTTACATGATTGTTAGCCTAGTTTACTGATTAAGAGGTCAATAGCCATTGTTTTGCTCTCTAGGAGGAAATAATACATTTACACAAAGCAAACTGTTTGTGTGTGTGTGTGTGTGCAAATTCCTAATTTGTTAGACATTTCTAATTTTTTTAGAAAGGTAAACAAAGAAATCCCTGATGTGGATCACTTTTATTTTGACCCAACAACCTCATTGCTCACTGAGGACAAGAACATTTCTAAGTATCTGTAAAGATTTAGTAGACCATTTGCATGACAACAGATGCTTGATCAGTTGGAGAGAATGAAAGGTTTGATCACTTACACAAAATGCTTTGTATGCCGTCCTCCAGTCTCTGCAGATTGTAATTTCTGTACCAAAATGCGGATGACGTTGAGAAAGATTGCAAAGTTGATCTAGAGAGACCAGAAGGGGATTAATTCCCACCAGTTTGCAAAATTCATTTTTCTTTTGTATGAATCCCTCCTTCCTACTTGATTATGATAATTTCCCCTAGTTGCAGGGGCGGCTCGTACATTATGCAAAGTAAGCGGTCACAGTACACTTTTTTTGCCAGGGGCGCAGAGGCGCCTCTGTAAATGCCCCTCGACCGCCACTTGAGGAGAGCCCCCTCAGCTCACAACAGCCCTAGCAGTCCGGGGGGAGCCTCGGCTTTCTTGCCTCGCTGCCGGGCGATCCTTGAGCCTCTCCTCGCCCCTCTTGTTCCTGCTCCACCTGGCCATCGGGTGCGCGAGCAGAGCTGGCACTCAATTGTTCTCTGCGTTCGATCCCTCCCCCATGACCGGCTCCCTTTCCCAATCCCCTGGTGCTCCACCCACCTCTCCTCTCCCCAATCCACGGGTGGGCCAAGAGGTGGAGCCGCCGCACCTGGCCCGGTTCGGGTCCGGAGGCGTGTCTGAAGACCCCAGCGTACGCACCAAAAGTCGCCTCTTCTCCTGACTTTCTCTTCAGCCATTGGGACCAAGAGAGAGAGAGAGAGAGAGAGCCCCTCCAGCTGGAGGTATCTCCCACCTCCGCTCCCTCCTTTGTTTTTGCGCCTACCTTCAGGAAAGGTGGGCATCTCCACCTCTCTCTCTCTCTCTCTCTCTCTCTCGGTCCCAATGGCTGAGGAGAAAGTCAGGAGAAGAGGTGACTTTTGGTGCACATGCCGGGGTCTTCAGGCACTCCTCCGGACCCAAAGCGGGCCAGGCAAGGGAGCAAGTGCGGCAAGTGTAGTTACTGGGATGTATAGTTCACCTACAATCAAAGAGCATTCTGAACTCCACCAATGATGGAATTGAACCAAATATGGCACACAGAACTCCCACGATGAACAGAAATATATATCAGTGATTGGTTGGCGGTGGGGGGCAAAATACTGTTTGCTTATCGTTGAAAATTACATAGGGCCACCTCTGCCTAGTTGATAAAACAACACAAAGTGGATTCAGTTATTTGTGTGATTCCCAACTTGCTTTTTGTTTGGTATGGGAACAGGGATTGTGGATAGAGCCAATTTTTTCAGAATGTGCAAACTGGGGCCAGCAGAGTTTTGCACTTTGGGACTATCGTTTTTGAAACAACTTTTTTTTGCATTTGTGTGTGTGTGTGCAGAATCTGATTGCAAGTTCTAGCATCTATGGTAGTTGGGGGATTCTGGGAGTTGTAGTCCAAACAATTTTCTCAACCTCTGCTTTGATGTATCTGAAAGGTCTGGCTAATAAAGGAGATCTCCACTGTTTGCATTTCAATAGCAGCAGAGCATACTTATTTGTTTACGTGGAAGGTAAGCAAAAAAGCAGGCTGAATGTTCAAAAGGCTATGAAGATGGCTCATGGCACATGGAGTTCCCCAGCAATTGCAGACAATTGCCGGCCTTTCTGTTCTTCAAAGCAACAGGATGAAAAGGAAAACTCACTAGAACTGTTAATAGGATGGGTCCCTTGATGATCCACAGCACGGCTGAGCTTTCTTCCTCATCATCCCAGCATCTGAAGGAGACAAGGAAAGAGAAGCAATTTAATGCACATGAACCTGGAAGAGGAGAGGGCTGCTCTTCTCCTTGTCTACCAAATTAGGACTTTGATGGAGATTGATCTATGAAGACCTTATCATGAGGTTTTCTTGACAAAGAGCTTTTGCCTCCCTCTGAAGCTGAGAGTGTGTGACTTGTCCAAGATTAGCAGTGGGGGTTTCATTATTGTATTGGATTCAAAAGCTGATCTTCAGGTGCATCTACACTTTAGAATTAATTCAGTTCAACTGCCATAGCTGAATGCTATAGAATCCTAGGATTTATAGTTTGCTTGGGTACCAGCACTCTTGGGCAGAGAAAGCTAAAGACTTAGTTGTGTGTGTGTGTGTGTGTGAGGAGTGACTTGAGAAACTGCGAGTCACTTCTGGTGTGAGAGAATTGGCCATTTGCAAGGACGTTGCCCAGAGGATGCCTGGGTCATAGATTCATAGAGTTGGAAGGGACATCATGGGCCATCCAGTCCAACCCCATTCTGCCAAAAAACAGGAAAAACACATTCAAAGCACCCCTGACAGATGGCCATCCAGCCTCTGTTTAAAAGCCCCCAAAGAGGGAGCCTCCACCACACTCCGGGGCAGAGAGTTCCACTGCTGAATAGCTCTCACAGTCAGGAAGTTCTTTCTCATGTTCAGATGGAATCTCCTTTCTTGTAGTTTGAAGCCATTGTTCTGTCGCAGCTATCAAACTGACTTTCCAAACATTCAACTCCTTCTGCGGAAGTTGCGCCCTTAGTCCAAGGAGGAAAAACCCAACAAAAACAAATTGTCTTTTAGCCAAAGAAATATGTATATGAAGGTATTTACAAATAAAGCAGTGTCCTTAGAATATTCAGCTGCTTCCACACGATGGCTTGTAAACACAAAGTCCTTATCTCCAGATAAGACGCCACAGTTATGCTCTTCAGATGCTGTAACAATAATACACCTCCAGCAGATCTAGCCTTGGGCTCCAAACTATCTCTCCAATCTTCAACCTTTCTCCAGCCTCTTTCCAGCCTCAAGTAACACAATGTACTTAGTCTCTATTAGTAGTACTTCAACTCCCACAGGTGGCTTGATTGTTGCTGCCTATCACATCTCCTCTCAGCCTTCTCTTCTTCAGGCTAAACATGCCCAGCCACTCCTCATAGCACTTGTTCTCTAGACCCTTGATCATTTTAGTTGCCCTCCTCTGGACACATTCCAGCTTGTCAATATCTTTCTTCAATTGTGGTGCCCAGAATTGGACACAACATTCCAGGTGTGGTCTAACCAAAGCGGAATAGAGGGGTTGCATTACTTCCCTGGATGTTTCACCATCCTGTGGGAGGCTTCTCTCATGCCCCTGCATGAGAAGTTGAAGCTGACAGATGGGAACTCACCCATTTTCCCCAAATTCAAACCACTGACCTTTTGGTCAGCAATCCTGTTGGTACAAGGGTTTAACCCATTGTGCCACCAGGGCCTCCTTAAAGACTTAGTAAAATTACAGTTCTTATGATCCCACAGCACTGAGCCACGATGGTTAAAGTGGTGTCGAACTGCCTTCATTCCACAGTGTAGATGTACCCGTCTACCCGATGACTGGCAGTAGGTTTCCAGGTTTCATGCATGTGTTTATTCAGGCATCGATGTGTGGAACTACATCATTTAAAAAATCACCCAGTATTCTGTCTGTAAATCCTGGCCATGATCCATGCCAGCGTTGTAACTCCTGGTGCACCTGGAAGCAAAGCACAAAAAAGTGGTTTTGTGCAATCAGTGGCAGAATCACACAAGAATGTTTTCTTTTTCTTTTGTTGTAATTACAGCCATCATTATGATTGAAGTCCCATTTATTTGGTTGCATTCACACACCTTGTGTTACTGGAGACATGCATCTTTCTTTCTTATATTTCCGCATGCAAGAACATAGGATGTCAAAGGTTTTCTGCCACTGACTGAAATGGCAAGAGTTTGTCATTTTTGCAAATCTCAGTGTCATTTGTGTCATATGTACAACCCTATTATTTTGTGCAAATATACTCAACACTTATATATTATTTGTTAGGAAATGAGGGCAGACTGCTGTATAGCAGGCCAGTTAATTGTTCATGTTGTGTGCCTTTAAGTCATTTCCTGATTATGATGGACCTAAGGAGAACCAATCATGGAGTTGAAGTTCCAAAAGTATGGGTTGCTATGAGTTTCCGGGCTGTATGACCATGTTCGAGAAGCATTCATAGAACCATAGAATCAAAGAATCAAAGAATTGGAAGAGACCTCATGAGCCATCCAGTCCTACCCCATTCTGCCAAGAAGCAGGAATATTGCATTCAAATCACCCCTGACAGATGGCCATCCAGCCTCTGTTTAAAAGCTTCCAAAGAAGGAGCCTCCACCACACTCTGGGGCAGAGAGTTCCACTGCTGAACGGCTCTCATGGTCAGGAAGTTCTTCCTCATGTTCAGATGGAATCTCCTTTCTTTGAAGCCATTGTTTTGCATCCTAGTCTCCAGGGAAGCAGAAAACAAGCTTGTTCCCTCCTCTCCTGATGTTTCACCCACTTCTATGGCAGGCATCCCCGGAGGTTGTAAGATCCTTCTCACAACCTCTGAGGATGCCTGCCATAGATGTGGGCAAAACGTCAGGAGAGAATGCTCCTGGAACATGGTCATACACCTGGAAAACCGACAGCAACCCAGTGATTGTGGCCATGAAACCTTCCAAAAGTATGTTTTCCGAGAAATGTAAGTCAAATAGATTAGGATATTCTCACAAAGCAGTCTACTAACCCCATCCGATCAGGATGAACCTCCAGGCGTACTGTTTGTCGGGGACAAAGGTCAGCAACAGCAGTGTCTGCAGATACATGCCTTCAACCAGCAGCCAGAAGAAGTTGGCCAAAATGCTGAACTGGAAGAATGTCAGAGCCACCTTGCATGTCACCTGAAAGGGAAACAGGAAATGCCGATTCAAACATGGTGATTCTTTGGAAATGATTGAGTTTTATGGCAAGTGTTTATTTTTCCTCCAGTAAGACTATTGGAAGAAGGTCCACCAGGTGAAATATATCAGATGAAACTTTCCGCACCCCAGTAAGTCTGGATGCTTCTACTCTGCAAAATGGATGCACTTTGATACTACTCAAACTGCCATGGCTCAATGCTATGGAGTCCTGGGATTTGCAGTTTGGTGAAGCACCAGCATTCTTGGGCACAGTGGCCTGCAAACCTTGTAAAAAGCTCCCAGGATTCAATATCATTGAGAAATGGCAGCAAAAGTGGTGTTGAGCTGCATTAATTTGACAATGTAGATACATCCTGTGCAAGGAACAGCTCTATCAATCAGTTCTTATCATCCTGGTGTGAAAATACATGGAGATATTTCTCCTTATCCTTTATTTCAGAGCCAAAAGAGCATGGTGCCTACTTACTGTGGACATCTGGCAGTGGTCCATGCTGTCATCAGAGAACAAAATGGCATCTTTTGTGAAAACTGCAGCTGCCCTCAAGATGAAGGAGAGAAACAAATGCATGTGGATATAATTCCGTGTGCAGTGAAATTTTCTAGAAAAGAGCAAAAGAGTGAAATGTCATTTTATGGATGGAGGTGACTTCATTGGATAGGATCCAACAGCTCTGACTGCCAGGAAGTTCTTCCTAGTATTTAGGTGGAATCTCTTTTCCTGCAATTTGCTTTGTGTCCTTGTGTCCTAGTCTGCTGAAAGACCGAGAACAAGCCATGAGAGTAAAGATGAAGATCCACCGTAGAGGGAAGCTGATGGAGAAACACAAGCTACAAACTATCTGCAGACCCACTAAGAAAATCCAACAAATGCTACGTTCAGCAAAGGACAAGAGGGATCCTCTCACTTCTGCAGGAGTCTACCGAATACCACGCAGCTGTGGGCAAGTCTACAGAGGGACCACCAAATGCAGCAGCATTGCCCAAACGCGCATCAAGGAACATGAAAGGTACTGCAGACTAACTCAACCAGAGAAGTCAGCCATAGCAGAGCACCTGATGAACCAACCTGGACACAGCAGATTATTTGAGAACACAGAAATTCTGGACCACTCTCACAACCACCATGTCAGACTACATAAAGAAGCCATTGAAATCCACAAGCATGTGGACAATTTCAACAGAAAGGAGGAAACCATGAAAATGAACACAATGTGGCTAGCAGTGTTAATAAAACTCTAACATTATAACAGTAAATAAAGAACAACATTCAAACACAGGGGAACTTCACACAAGAAACAATCAGAGACAGCTATTTATTTATCGTGTCAGGAGCAACCAGACAGTTGTATTACATTTTTAACAAAACAAACAAACAGACAAAACACAGAGTTTGCAAGCTAGGTAGTTGATTAAATGTCCTTTGACCAGTAACTGGCCACTTGGAGTGCCTCTGGTGTTGCCGTAAGAAGGTCCTCCATTGTGCATGTGGCAGGGCTCAGGTGGCCTTGCAGCAGATGGTCGGTGGTTTGCTCTTCTCCACACTCGCATGTTGTGGATTCCACTTTGTAGCCCCATTTCTTGAGGTTGGCTCTGCATCTCGTGGTGCCAGAGCGCAGTCTGTTCAGCGCCTTCCAAGTTGCCCAGTCCTCTGTGTGTCCAGGGGGGAGTCTCTCATTTGATATCAGCCATTGATTGAGGTTCTGGGCTTGAGCTTGCCACTTTTGGACTCTCGCTTGCTGAGGTGTTCCAGCGAGTGTCTCTGTAGATCTTAGAAAACTATTTCTTGATTTAAGTAGGGACAGCTAATCACCTCTCAACAAAGGATTCCCCAAGGCAGTAACAAGTCACACACCTAAAAACTGTCAGGCCATCAAATGCTAATCAAGGTGGACAATTGAAACATTCACACCTAGCTCTAACAAACAAGAGTTATTTCTCCCACCCTGGACTTTCCACAGATATATAAACACAATTTTCCTAGTTTCCAACAGACCTCACCACCTCTAAGGATGCCTGCCATTGATGCAGGTGAAATGTCAGGAGAGAATGCTTCTAGAACATGGCCATACAGCCCAAAAAACTTACAACCACCCAGATATTGGTTATACAAACACAGCAACACAAAGGAGACATGATAGCAACCTGGGATTTTAAAAAAGAAAATAAAAGAAATCAGAAAAGCCAAACAATAAAAGGCAAGAACCAATGAGACACTGAAGTGTGGACACACATTCTCCATCTAGCAAAAATCTTTTCAGCACTTGCCGGAAGATGGTGAAGATGAGTAGTGCTGTTATGAGGGATGCCAGAGATGTTGCGTAGCCTGCAGTGTAGATATGCCAGAATGCCAAAAAGTATGATTTCTACAGAGGAAAAGAGAAAATAGGGTCAATATCTTCCAGAAATGTGAATAATAGAATTCTATAGCATTGATCCATGACAGTTAATGTGATGTCAAACAGCATTAAGCATGCACTGTGGATCCAGCCTCAGTCACCCATGTGGCCAATTTGAGGGCATTTTGGATTTCCAGAAAAGGGATGCTCAGTCTGAATATATGTTGGTTATTTGCCTTGAAACTGGACAACATTCAATGTAGACATAGCCCTTGCTCACCTCATCTTCAGGTTCCTCTGTCATGCCATCCTTGAACCCACAGGCAACTGAATACGATGGAAAAGGTTCTGACCAGTAATTGCCTGGTGTACAATTTCTGTGGAGGAACCCTATGGAATAGAACAGTGTGAATCCATCTGCATAGGTGAAGAAGGAGAACATCAACATATAGCAAACCTCTCTGATAAGGTGACATTACCATCCTTTGAAGATGGAAGTCACCATGGCAATGTTGGTGGAGCCTTTCTATCATGAAGACGTTTGCTATAGAGTATAACGTCTTCATGATAGAAAGGCTCCACCAACATTGCTATAGTGTTTCTCAACTGGGGGTCGGGACCTCTGGGGGGGGGGGTCATGAGGGGGTGTCAAAGGGGTTGCCAAAGACCATCAGAAAACACAGTCATGGGGTTTGGTGTGGGAAGTTTGGCCCAATTCTATTGTTGGTGGGGTTCAGAATGCTCTTTCATTGTAGGTAAACTATAAATTTCAGCAACCACAACTCCCAAATGTCAAGGTCTGTTTTCCCCAAACTTCACAATTGTTCACATTTGGGTATATTGAGTATTTGTGCCAAGCTTGGTCCAGGTCCATCATTGTTTGAGTCCACAGTGCTCTTTGGATGTAGGTGAATTACAACTCCCAATTTCAAGGTCAATGCCCACCAAACCTTTCCAGTATTTTCTGTTGATCATGGGAGTTCTGTGTGCCAAGTTTGGTTCGGTTCCATCCTTGGTGGAGTTCAGAAAGCTCTTTGATTGTAGGTGAACTATAAATCCCAGCAACTGCAACTCCCAAATGACAAAAATCAATCCCCCCCCCAACCCCCCCAGTATTCAAATTTGGGTTTATTGGGTATTTGTGCCAAATTTGGTCCATTGAATGAAAATACCTCTTTCATATCAGATATTTACATAACGATTCATAACAGTAGCAAAATCACATTTATGAACTAGCAATTAAAATAATGCTGTGGTTGGGTCACCACAACATGAGGAACTGGATTAATGGGTCACGGCATTAGGAAGGTTGAGAAACACTGCTCTATAGAAATGAAGATGGTAACATGTCAGGGGCTCCAAAGACTTTGGAACTTCAGGGACATGACCATCAGCACCATCTTTCCTCTCTGCTCTTTTAAGTACAGGGAAAGGGGGATGGATCAGGCCTGTCACCCCCATTGCTGCTGCCAGATGGCCACACCACAGAACTTTGAGTGAACTCCTAGCCATTGTGTATGTATCGTGTTGGCCTTAACAGAGATGCCTTATGACCAGAAAGAAAGTGAGTTCACCAACAAAAACATCACCACAGTTCAAGGTACAAGATTCACAAGGGTTCATGATACACGTCAGGATGCCACAATCCACCAACCTAGGAGAAAAACCACCAGCATCCACAACCAAGTATGGCATAAACTTCTCTCCCCAAAAAGCAGTTTCTAGCTTGGCTCTTTTTATGCAGCTGATCACAGCTGCATCCTATCTCTCCATGCCTCCTCCCTGATTGCTGTGAGTTCTTACAGACAGCTTACTTTGACCTTTAGCACCAGAAGGGAGATTAACCCCATATCTTTTGTAGCACTACCACCCTACTAGTCCTGATCCTATATTGTTGCACCTCACCAGGACTTCACCTTGCTCAAAGCACTCACCAGGAAACTAGTCATGGTATTAAACAGTTTATTGATAAAACATAGAGTAAAAAATCCAAGTGTGTATGTAGAAAGCAAGTCCCACCGACAAAAGGTACATCCCCAAAACAAGAATCCAGAAAACAAGGAACAAAACAAGAGCTTGAATCGATAGGTAAATCCTTAAGGCAGGAAGCAAAACTTGACTAGAAATCTTGGGACTTGAGTTTAGAGCATAACCAGAAACAAGACAGGAGTTTCCCACTCCAGTAGAAATGTTGCTTGATCTCAAAATCCTAATAGCTCTCTCTCTAATTTAAGGACTGCAATACGTACATGTAGGCATTCCATTGACCTTGCGAGGCCTGCTTCTGCCTCTCTTTCTCATGGCTTTGCTTGCACCTGGATTTCTTCCCCCTGCAGAAGAAGCCTGGTATATTTGTCTAAGCCAACTGCTTCTTCGGATGAGCTCATGTTATCCTCACTTCCCTGCCTGTCAGCTTCCAAAGCAGTTTCATTCCCACACTCAAAAACAACATCTTGCTCTAAAACCTCATCTGTTCTCCCAACTGGATAACCATCTTGCTCCAATACCCCCTCTGTCTGGGCACCACAGAACCATCAGGCCCTGCACCCCCAAACTCCTCCTCATCAGCTGGCTGAACTACAACATTACCCATCACCAAAATGCCAAACATTCCACTACCAATCACCATCCATTGTAGGACATGACACTTCCATGATGGGCAAGAGCTCTCCCAGAGCTCCGTTGCCATCTGATAGTAGCAATGGTAACAAGGAAAGTAAGTGATGGCTTAGCAAAGTCAACCTGGGTTTGGCCCCATGGCACTATGGAGACTTCCTTGCTGCAGGTTGGGAACAGAGTATGTTGCCTCCTCCAGGACCAGTCTAGACAGTAATGCTCCAGGCTGCTAAGGATTGGCAGCAGATTAAGTGACTAATGTAGATAAGTCCTAACTCAAGCACATTGTCATAGAGAGATCGTAAGTAGTCCCTCGCTCTCCTCTGCCTATTCTCTATATCTGTCTATCACCAGGACCATCAGCTACATCTCATCCATTTAACCTTGATCTTCCTGCTCTAGAACGTCCTTATTACACTGCCTGGGCTGCACAATTTTCCTTGGGCACAGCTCAGACGTAGGACAGAGAAATATATTACAGAAAACACTCCTTGCCATGTATGTTGGTTATTTCTTCAAAAAATGCAGGGCACGACACTGTGACCATCTCTCCAAAAGCAGCTCTGGGCCAGCAACTTAGTCCATCCCAGATTCCTGAGCATCCTAAAGAGAAACAAAATGACAAAATAAAAACATAGCCTAAAGGAAATTTCATACACTATTTAAAAATAATAATTTTGTGCATGAAAGGTTTGTGTGTATTGAACCAACAGAAAGCAAAAGTGTCATGATAATGCCCAGCAACTGGGACAATTTTGGGACATTTCAGATTTCCAGATCAGGGATGCTCCATCTATATAGACAATTGACCAATTATACATCTTTTTTTGTGTTTATCCTCACCATTGGTGCTGGAGACCTGGTTAGGCCTACCTTCATTTTTAAAGATGCAGTATTCCAAAAATCTTACTGTCCAATGCCCTTTCAGTTAACTATACATAGCAACCACAAATGGGAAAGAACTATCTCCTGGAGCCCTGACTCTAAGAAGGAAAAATATGGGTTGTTGTAGGGTTTTTTGGGCTATATGGCCATATTCTAGAGGCATTTCTCCTGACATTTCGCCAGCATCTATGGCAAGCAACCTCTGAGGATGCTTGCCATAGATGCAGGCGAAACGTCAGGAGAAATGCCTCTAGAACATGGCCATATAGCCCGAAAAAACCTACAACAACCCAGTGATTCCAGCCATGAAAGCCTTTGACAATACAAATAAAAATATGTTTGTATATTTGTGAAACTTTTTGGGAAACAGTTTGGGTAACTGAATCTGTATGTTTTGTGAAACAAGCAACCTCAAAAAAAAAATCTTGAAACAGATAAAGCAACCACAACAGAAAACTTTAGCAATTGAAATCCCAGAGCACATTCTTGATCCCAGCAACCATCACTGATCTAGTTTGTAAAAAAATAGGGTAGGGACTACGTGTTTTACCTTGAAATCCCGGCAACAGAGATTCATTTTTATCCAAACACTGAGCCTCGTCTTTCATTACTTGCTGAAATATTTTGCATTCTGGGTGGATGCAAGCAACCTAAGAGAATGGAAAATATAATACAAGTCAGAATAAGGAAAATTACTGGTGTCAAGATGAACAACATATCACAACCAATAGGTTATGTGATCGAACCCAAAGGGTGCTCACCAATGGTTCTACTTCATCCTGGAAAGAAGTGAGGAGTGGAGTGCCGCAAGCAGGCATGTAGCCGGGGGGGGGGGGGGGGGGGGGGGGGGGGCTTGAGGGGCTTCAGCCCCCCCCCCCGAAATTCTCATGGTGGTTCGCGAAAAGGCCTTACTGATGCATTATTTAAACTGTTATGTTTATTCATATCATGATCTGATAACCATACTCAATATATCCCATATGCATGAGGGTATTGGGGTAATGATACAAAAGGTTTGCTAGGCTAGACCCTCTTTCACTCAGACTCAGCCCCCCCCCGAAACTCAGCCCCCCCGAACCCCCCCCTGAAAAAAATCAGCCCCCCCCCCCCGAAACGATCCTGGCTACGGGCCTGGCCGCAAGGTTCAATCTTGGGTCCAGTCCTGTTCAACATCTTTATCAATGACTTGGATGATGGTTTAGAGGGCATGCTGATCAAGTTTGCAGATAGGACCAAATTAGGAGGGAGAGCAAATACTCCAGAGGACGGGATTAAAATGCAAAATGACCTCAACAGACTAAAGAACTGGGCCAAAACTAACAAATGAATTCAACAAAGACAAATGTCAGATACTATTTATTTATGTATTTATTTATTTCAAACATTTTTTACCCCGCCCTTCTCAACCCCTGGGGAGACTCAGGGCAGCTTACAATTGACAATATTTCAATGCCGCATCATAAAATACAGAATAACAAATATAACAATTAAACATGAACATTAATAAATAAAGATTAAAAACAGTATACTTACACTCTGATTAGCTATTGCCCGTCTGGTGGCTGTTTAGCTAGCTATCTACTAATGATTACTCCGCTTAACTTATCCAAATCCTCTTCCATTCCACAGTCAAACATTATCAATTGTTAGGTTCTTGTGGGTTTTTTCAGGCTATAGGGCCATGTTCTAGAGGCATTTCTCCTGACGTTTCGCCTGCATCTATGGCAAGCATCCTTAGAGGTAGTGAGGTCTGTTGGAAATAGGACAATGGGTTTATATATCTGTGGAATGGCTGGGGTGGGGCAAAGAGCTCTTCTCTGCTAGAGCTAGGTGTGAATGTTTCAACTGACCACCTTCATTAGCATTTGAAGGCCTGCCTGAGCCTGGGAAAATCTTTTGTTGAGAGGTGTTAAGATGTGCCTGGTTGACAATACATTATCAATTGTCCTTTAACCTGATTGCCTGGTCCCACAGGCAGGTTTTAACCTTTTTTCTAAAGGTGAGGAGGGATGACAACGACCTAATTTCCCCAGGGAGCAAATTCCACAGGTGAGGGGCCACCACTGAGAAGGCCCTGTCCCTCGCCCCCGCCAAGTGTGTTTGAGACAAGCCAATCCCAACCGCCTTCCACCTGGAAACCAATGCTCTCACTGCGGGAGACGATGCAGATCAAGAATAGGGCTCCATAGTCACCTACGGATCCAAGGGACAACAAGGGATTGCCTAAGTAAGTAACAACGATGGAAAAAACAGGAGTTGCATGTGACGTCTGTAGACAGTCCACGTCTCACAGGCATAGAGCAGGGTTGGGAGGACAATAGCTTTATAAACAAGCACCTTGGTCTCCCTACGGATGTCCCGGTCCTCAAACACTCTCTGCTTCATTCTGGAAAATGCTGCACTTGCAGAGCTCAGGCGGTGTTGTATTTCGGTGTCAATGTTGACTTTGGTGGAGAGGTGGCTGCCAAGGTAGCGGAAATGGTCCACATTTTCTAATGTTACACCGTTAAGCTGTATCACTGGCATTGGAGAGGGGTTGGCTGGTGCCTGCTGGAAAAGCACCTTGGTTTTTTCAATGTTCAATGACAGGCCGAGCTTCTCGTATGCTTCTGCGAAGGTGTTTAGAGTGGCTTGTAGATCTTCTTCTGAATGTGCACAGACGACATTGTCATCAGCATACTGGAGTTCTATAACAGATGTTGTTGTAACCTTGGTTTGGCTTTCAGTCTGCTGAGGTTAAATAGCTTGCCATCTGTCCGATAGATTATTTCCACTCCGGTGGGAAGCTTCCCATCAACAAGGTGAAGTATCATAGCGATGAAGATGGAGAATAGAGTTGGGGCAATAACACATCCCTGTTTGACACCGGATTCCACCTTAAATGGGTCAGGAGGTCTTCACACAAAACCCCCAAAGTTTTTACGCTAACTTTTGCTACTTGTCAGTGGCAGACTGTGCCTTTTCTAAGCATCTTAATGAAATATCTGTATCAGAATAAACTGGATCTTGCAGCATCAGGCCCGACAAGTCCCCGACTGTCATCCAATGTGACCAAATGATTACTCTGAAAAGGGCAACGCGATTTACATTTCAAAAGACCCCATTCATGGCTTTGGCTGGGAAAACTAATTGCATATTTCTCCCTTCCTTCGGCTGCCAGAGCTGCTTTTCAAGAACAGTAATTGTGTGAAATTGCGTGCTGCTTTCTGCTTGGCTTTGAAAAGACCTGGTGGCAGGATTATGAGGTGACAGATCCATGTTTGTGTTCCTCATATAAAATTCTTTGTTTTGTCTGAAGTACCCCTGACATGTCTGATGCCAATGGCTTCAGGAAGGGGACTTTATATATGCATTGATAAACCTCCCGTAAAGGGAAAACAGGGACCCCCGTTTGTGTCTTATCCTTATAGAAAGTTCCCTCTGGAACTCAATATAGTGGGTAACTTGGAGGATCGTATCACAATAGAGACTCTAGGAAAAAGGGAATTATTCACAAACATGGAAGAGAATGTATTGTTGAAGGCTTTCATGACCAGAATCACTAGGTTGTTGTACGTTTTTTGGTCTGTATGGCCATGTTACAGAAGCATTCTCTCCTGACATTTCACCTGCATCTATGGCAGGCATCCTCCAACATTTTGAGGTCTGTTGGAAACTAAGAAAATGGGGTTTATATACCTGTGGAATAATGTCCAAGGTGGGAGAAATAGCTCTTGTCTGTTTGAGGTAGGTGTGAGTGTTGTAATTAGCCATCTTGATGAGCATTTAATGGCCTAGCACTTTTCAACGTGTGGCTTCTTACTGTCTGCAGGAATCCTTTGTGGAGAGATGATTATCTGGCCCTGATTGTTTCTTGTCTGGAGTTCCCCTGTTTTTGAATGCTTTTCTTTTTTTTCAGGCTGTATGGCCTTGTTCTAGAAGCATTCTCTCCTGACGTTTCTATGCATCTGTGACAGGCATGCTCAAAGATTGTGAGGTCTGCTGGAAACTAGGAAAATGGATTTTATATATCTGTGAAATGTCCAGGGTACGCAGGCCCATAGCCAGGATTTCGATTCGGGGGGGGGGGGGGTGAGTCTGAGTGAAAGAGGGTCTACCCTAGCAAACCTTTTGTATCGTTACCCCAATACCCCCATGCATATGGGATATATTGAGTATGGTGATCAGATCATGATATGAATAAACATAACAGTTTAAATAATGCACCAGTAAGGCCTTTTCCCGAACCACCATGAGAATTTCGGGGGGGGGGGGGGGGCTGAAGCCCCTCAGCCCCCCCCCCTCCCGGCTACATGCCTGCAGGGTAGGATAAATAACTCTTTTCTGTTGGAGGTGTGTGTGAATGTTTCAATTGGCTACCTCGATTAGCATTTGATTGCCTGAAAGTTTTTAGGTGTGTGACTTGTTACTGCCTTGGGGAATCCTTTGTTGAGAGGTGATTAGCTAACCCTGGATGTTTCTTGCCTGGGGTTCCCCTATTTTTGAGTGTTGTTCTTTATTTACTGTTATGATTTTAGAGTTTTTTAAACACTGGTAGCCAGATTTTGTTTATTTTCATGGTTTCCTCCTTTCTGTTGAGATTGTCCACATGCTTGTGGATTTCAATGGCTTCTCTGTGTAGCCTGACATGGTGGTTGTGAGAGTGGTCCAGCATTTCTGTATTCTCAAATGATATGCTGTGTCCAGGTTGGTTCCTCAGGTGCTCTGCTATGGCTGACTTCTCTGGCTGAAGTAGTCTGCAGTGCCTTTCCTGTTCCTTGATTCATGTTTGGGTAATGCTGCGTTTGGTGGTCTCTATGTAGACTTGTCCGCAGCTCCATGGTATACGGTGGACTCCTGCAGAGGTGAGGGGATCCCTCTTGTCCTTTGCTGAACGTAGCATGTGTTGGATTTTCTTAGTGAGTCTGGAGATCGCTTGTAGGTTGTGCTTCCTCATCAGCTTCCCTATGCACTCAGTGGTTCCCTTGATGTATGGCAAGAACACTTTTCCTCTGGAGGCATGTTTGTCTTGACTCTCATGGCTTGTTCTCGGTCTTACAGCTCTTTTGATGCCTATGTGGTAGTCCCCATTGGGCTGTAAAGCCCAGTTTAGGTGGTTCAGTTCATCTTGGAGGAGGTGGGGTTCACAGATTCTTTTTGCACAGTCTGCTTTTATGGTACTTCTTTTTTGACTTGGGTGATGGTTGGAGTTTTTATGTAGGTAGAGAATGACTTACTAAAGCGAAACAAATGCTTGGTAGAGAGAGAAAAAAGGCTTGCTCCTTCTACCTGTTCTTGTTCTTGTTGTTGAATGCCTTTAAATTATGGAGAGCCTGAGGTTGATGGATCACATTTTGAGACAAAGGCAAAATATCAATTCAATAAATAAATAAATATAAAACTTTCACTTTTTTGAGAGAGAAGATATTTGTTCAGAGGGGGGTTGCCCCTTGCAGTCCTCTGAGGCTGAGAGAGTGTGGTTTGCCCAAGGCACCTAATGACTTTCCATAGCTAAGCAGGGATCTGGACTCAGGTTTCCAGGGTCATATACTCAAGCCATTACACAGCACTGTCCCTACTTGACAAAAAAGAAAATGGAACGGATGTGGTAGGAATAAAGTCAAGTGTGAAACCACTGGAACACAGTGAAAACCAGAGCTGGCTTCTGCAC